ACACCCGAGCTCAAGGATTTTGTATAAGAAACTTTAGACCTCAAAATATTCACCACATTCCACACTTAGATCTGAAGTGCTGAAATAAATACTTTTGGCATTTCCCAAATCTGTGCCTCAAGATATTACAACTACCTGAAATGCCTGTTTTTCTCCCTTTTTCTCCTGTTTTTCTCTACCTAATGAATTTCTACCTATATTCAAGGCCAGTTCCAAAATAGGTCCTCCATGAATTATATGAAAAAAAATCTTTTGGTTTTCAAAACTTTTGGATTTTGGATTTGTGGATCTGGGTTTATGGACCTGTATTACATCTGTGGAGAAGGCTTCAGTGATGACTCCTGCAGTAGGGGTATCTCCCCTTGATGATTTACTAAGGTACTAGGTTTGTAAAATATTTAAAACTAATGCTGACTTATTAGATAATAAGCTCTTTGACAGCACAAAATGAGTCTTATAGATCCTATACATCGCATCCCTGAGGACAGAGTTTAGAAACAGCTTAACTTACTATTCATTACCCCTTATGATTAGATATTCGAATGTGAAAAACATGTCTCAACTAAACTGCAAAAATGATCTTCCCCCTCACTTATCCGTTTAACATTGCTTAACAGGAAACAAGCAGAACAGTTGCTGAATATAAGTAAAGTTCAACGCTTTTCAAACAGCTAGTAAATAGAATGTCAGTCTGAAATTCTCCCTTTTACAACATAATTCTGAAAGAAAAAACATTCCTGAAGATGACTGAGTGGTTTTGAATTAAAAAATATATTACAGAAATCTGCCACACTTACTAACCACATTAAGATGAACTGATTCTAGTGCAGTTTTTCTATTTAAAAACCCAGAGTTATCTTGTATGCACCCTCCACGCTGATTTCTGCATAACACCAGGAAGGTTTATTAGAAGCCAAGTTCAACACATCCTCTTGAGGTCAAGTGAAACTGACACTGCAGAGAGCTAATCCTGGTCACATTCTCAGGAAAACGAAGCCATTAACTCAAGCTGACATTCATTTTTAAATTTCTAATGAAGAGTCACTCTGCTTAGTTTGGGTTTCAAGTCTGATAAGACAACATGAGTTTAAGTCATCACATGATTTAAATCTACAGCCACGCTCTTTAAACTTGCTTTGTTATTTTTAGTAGATCCTTAATGTTTTTTCCAAAAGAAATTCAGAAAGAACTCCAGTATATAAAACAGATACGGGTAGGATTGTTCTGGTTGAAGCAGGTGCCAATAGAAGTGGGAGTGTCCCAGGGTTCACCTCCTCAGTGTCCTCCTCAGAGCCTTTTAGAAACTCCAGGGTCTAAGGAACAGAGCTGGGAAAGCACTGCTCCAGAAGGACTCAACTATCTTTTGGCTTTTCAAGTAAATTAATTTTTTCCATATTAGAAAATTAAATTTGTATTCATGGTTTGGCTGTAAAAGCACTATGAAAATGGTACCAAGAATGTGAAAAAGAAATCAATCACCTCAAGTTCCACCTAACAAATGTCCTAGGTCAGTCTCCTTCGGGTGCATATTCTGACACAATGGTAACCGTCCCCAAACTCCTGACCGTCCCTTGCTCCTCCCACGGCCTTCCCACTTCAGTTCATAGAAATTCTACCTTTCCAGTGGGGCAAAGACTGGAGTCCTCTACATCTCTCACACCCCATATCTACTGCACTGGCAAGTGCTGTCAGTTCTACTCTCAAGATATAGTCAGTCCCTGCAGGTCACTGTTTGCCACCCTGGTCTTCCCTGAAGAATGATCCTGTAAAAAATCCTGTAAGTCAGACCTTTTCTGTCCTTTACTCAAGACCATCTGATGACTTCCCATCTCACTCAGAGCCAAAACTCACAACTGGCTGCACGACCTCCCATACTCCACCCAGGCCCCCCTCTGACTTTGTTCCTGTCACTCTCCCCCAGCCCACTCCACTCAGCCACGTGCCTAGAACACACGAATCCTCCTCCTGCCTCCATGGCCTTTTACACTTGCTGCCCCCTCCATCTGGAACACCCTGTCCCCAGACAGCTTCTTGTCCTCATCCGTCTCTTCCTTTTGATCTTTGTTGAAAACTCGCCTCATTAGACAAGCATTCTCTGACCACCCTATGTAAAATAGTAACTCCTCCTCTCTTTCCACCCCCCCTTATACTGCTTTATTTTTCTCCACGATAATTATCACCACCTGATAGACTGCATTTGACCATCTATTTGTATATACAACTCCTATCCTTACACCCCAGCTAGTTAACCGCATTTCATCTCTTTTGTTCCTTACACCCTTAGTACCTAGAATGATGATTGGCCGTTCTAGTTCTAGGAGCTCAATAAATACTTATTTAATTAAACAAATAGATCTTCCACATTTATTTTTGTGTCCCCAGTTACAGTTTTTAATGACTGCCCAGTTCCATCAAAGGAATGAACCATTGTGTTCTTCATTCTCCCAGTCTTTGTCATTTAGGTTGTTTACTTTCTCTCTCTCGCTCTCTCTCCCTCTCTCAATAAACAATGCTGCAGTAGACACGTATCCAGTTTATTAGTGAAGGGGCTGTGAACGGATGTCAAGGATACTTTCTATCACCAACAGAAAACCACGCTGTCCTCGGATCACCACTGTGGATATCACCCCTCCTGTCCTCAGATCACCACTGTGGATATCACCCCTCTCAGCCTGATGTTGGCCTAATGTATTTGGCACCTGACACATCTTATCCGCTTGCTCCCAATCCCGTTGTCAGCAACACTAACACTCAATCATAATTCGGACCCCTCAATTGCATGGTTCAGCCACCACATTCCTCCATCTCATTTCTAACTTCAGTCTTCCAGCAGCAAAGCCACTCACTAGAATTACAAGGCACCTCCTGGACCTGTTCCCAACACTTTACTTTTCATATCTGCTGCTGCATGCTCCCCTGACCTGCCTCTCTGGACTTTCCAAAGATCTCCTGGTTCCCAGGACTCTGAAGCTCTGTTGAACACAGGAATTACTGAGAGTTGTGCCTGAATCCACATGTGCATCAAGTACTAGCTGTATGCTACAGAAACAAAACGTCTTCCTGTATATACTCTTCTCCGTTTTTAAACGTATATCAACATTGTTACGACTTCCAAAATATGTTTATTTCACAGTTACGTTGGATCGTTAGTTGACTATACGTAGTTAATTAAAGCATCTTAAAAAAGCAGGGTCCCTAGACTAAGGAAAGCTGGGAACCACTGCTCAAGGTTCTGCTTAACTTATCAGCTGCATTAGCAGCTTCTAGCCACAAGAGACTCACATCCAGGCCTGATAGCTGGGCTCTAACTCCCTCAACCTCCTAAACAATAGCTGCATTTCTGCTAAACTGTAAATCTGAATCACAAGCCCTGGGAGGCTGATAAATTGAAACTTCATTGAGCAAGTCACGTATCATCTCTAACCCTGAGTTTCCTTATCTGTAAACAGGAGACAACAATATTACTACCAAGCAGAGCAAGTACTCAGGGCAGTGAGGCACAAAGTCTGCACACAATAAATACTAACTTATGATTTTACCATTGCTGTTATTTATGATGATGATTACTTATCCCTATGTCTGATCAGCTGCCAAATCCTTCTTCATTGCCACCACAATAATTTAGGCCCCAATTAATTCACTCCTTGAGTATCTGGCTCTTCTTACAAAGGGTTATTAGATTACAATTTCTGAAAATTCACATTTAGAGCATGACACTTCCATTCAAAGGCCTTCAAGATTTTTCACCAAATAAACTTCCAGTTCCTCAATGTGACTGTTGTATATCTTCCTACTCTTACATCAAAAGCTGCTTCTTAGCTGAAGGAACTATTTCTGATATTTAAAAGCAGTTGGTGCTTTCTCATTCCAGCACGTTTGCTCAATGTGTTTCCTTCACCAGCGATGTCTTCCTATCCTCACCTACACTAGCCAGATTACTTTCAGACCTAACTCAAATGCCCACCCCACAAAAGTCTTTCTGGATCATCACAGAGTTAGTCCTCCCGCCTTCCCAGAACTTCTATAGCACTACTGAATCGCATGCGCACTCACTGCACGGCTACTAGGGATGTTTTATCTTCGCTGCTGGAGCGTAGGTTCTTAGAGAGTAGAGATCTTGCATACTACCCAATGCTTTGCACAGAGCAGGCTCTCAACAACACATGAGGCGTGGAAACTGTGCAACAGAAAGCCAGTTCAGAAACACACCTACTATGCCCAAGCAGCAGACAATGCAACACAAGCTGAAGCCTAAGGGCATTGTCACTTCACATCGTTGTCACTTACCAACATTAGGTCCAGTGAGTCCCTGCTCAGACTCACTGGAAGGGCGAAAGAGTCTGAAGTGGCATTTTAAACCATGGATTAAATTCTGATGACTTCTATAGTGATTAAAATAACCTGGAGAAAGTTGAGAGTTCTTTTTTTTACAAGAAATATATACATATATATACACATATATCATGTTTTCTAGACTGGAAAGCAAATTTGACATTTTTAAAACTAGGCAGGGCTATAAAATCAGTCATAAGATTTTTTGCAGCAAAAAGCTGAAGGGCTTTAAGACAGATTTGAAAAGAACAGTACATTTACAAGATGGAAAAAACCTGATGTTTGATGATACAAGAAGTTTGATGTGTTTCTGGATGGGAAGAGAAATGAAATTCTTTCTAAGAAAAGTTTATAAAGCACATCTAATACCTTTTCCCCCCTTTACAGTTTGGCATATTTTAGAAACCCTTAGTCATCCTGCTACCATCAGAAGCATGAGTTGTGGTTGACATGACTACTTTGTGTGAATAAAACAATAAATCTGTTCAAAAATGCAGCAGACAAAGCCATGAAATGGCATGATATTGAACAGGACGATATTGCCACCTTTCAACATTGCTCATCTTACTCCATTACAGAAAGACAGATTTTAAAAGTAGGTACATAGTGTCTGGCTATGGAGGAACAGAAAGTGGTCAGGATGAATTCCAGCAAAGACCACGACTTACTGGAGGTGCTGTCGATGCTGCTGATGCTGTCCGCGTTGTGCAGGTGGTGCCTGTAGAGCTGCCTGTAGAGGCTAAATTTGGAGAACTTGCCTGGCTTTCCTATTCCTTTCAGTTTTGAATCCATATCATCAACATTCTTCAGGATGGGCAGATTTTTATTAGATTTGTTTTTATCTTTGAGGTTTAAGGATTCTACAGACTCTGTTGTTGCAGCCTGAAAAGAATGATTTTTAAAAAAAGACACTGCATAAGATATGCTTCAAAGAGGCCTTTTAATTCAAGTATTGCTGAGGTGTAGAGTTTACAAATGATGGAGCCTCCATAACAGACACACAGTAATGTCTAAAGTCGGCCACAGCATGATGGTGGATCCTTGGGAGATGTTTAACCAACCACTGAAGGAATACCAGGAGTTTCATTGTGATTCCACTTTC